CCACCCTATCTACCTAACAGAGCCAATTTCTGAAACGTTCAAAAATGCTGACAGGTGCAGTCTCACTGACCTAGAACTTAATCTCATTTATTGGTGGGTAACTACAGTACAACAGACATAAAGCAACTTACATCAGGTACAGCCAGAGTATCTGAAGACACAGCTCAGTGTCTTAATCACAATGCCAATCCTTCTTCATTCTGCTGTGCAGCCCATGCTGAGTAGCACCAGCCCTGGGATCTGCACCAACCTTCAGAAGAGCCTCTTTCAGTGGTTGCTGCAGAACGTGCCTGTGGCTCCCAAAGTCCTGGACACACCACTGATCTGCATGGGGGCAGACAGGCAGCATCTACAAAAAAGCCCATTTGTAAGCCCTTCTTCTGCGACAGAAATAACATGAACTTGGCACAAGTGAGAGGTAGTGCCAGTATGTGGGCTTCTTACAGGACAGGAAACCCATTAGTCACTGATTATGTTTCCAGCTGCAGTGCTCAGCGTATCCTGGGAACCATGCATTAGGACACAGGCCCTGCACCAGGGAGCTTCCCCCCCATACCATGTCTCTTATAGCAGGAATTAACCTTACAAATACTGGTCTCCTTTGCCAAAAGAAAAATAAGTCAGGCAGGGGCTACATGTGTTATTTTCATCAAAAGTGACAAAGATCACCCTACTGTGGCAATGTCCCAGTCTCTTGAATTCTTCAGATATTCTCTATCTATGAAGATAATTGGCTCCAGGAAGGTTAAAGATATGGAGAAAAACCCTCAAACAGCATACATCTCCTACAGCATACAGTCTGAAGGAGAACAGTGCTGCTTTTCCAGCACCCCCATAGATCTGCCAATTGCTACTTGGGCAATTACAATACAGCTCTGATCTGCAGAGAAACCTATTAAAGGCCATTACCCAGGCTTGAAAAGCAGTAATTAGTCTGAGCTCCAACTAGCACTGGTAAGTGAGCAGCTAGTGTAGAGTGACAGGCGGGTGCTGCCATTCCCGTGGGCTGCTTTCAAACCACTGACCACCTGTGGGTAGTAGCCAGAAAATAATGACAAGTCATTAATAACCGATAGGCTTGGTGTCCCACCTTTCATCTGAGGAGTCCCAAGTGCCTGTCAGGACTTAATTAAACCTCACAGCTGTAAGGAAGGTAAACACTGTGTCCTCAACATTATTTTGCAGTTGGGAAAACTAAGGCACTTATAATCCATTGTCAGCTTTACTAAGAATCACTCAAAATTTGACAGTATTCAGATGTTCTGAACATTAACAAACACACCAGCTTAAGAGTAATTGCTTTGAAAGTGATGCACAGAATAAGGAACCCATCTCCTCATTTCAAAGCCTTGTGTTTAAAATCCCAGTTGCCACGACTTACTCCAAGTCATGCAGTGGATCTGTATGTAGAACTTGAAAGGACACAAGTCCTGGCTTCCAGCGTGAGCAGCCACTCATAGTTTGTTAAATTTTTGAATGCAGCACAGCCTTTTTACGTTCAGTTTTGGGGGAATAAATAGGAAAAAAAAAAATCCAATTTTTGTACCACAGTCTGCTTCTAGTCCCTTTCCCCAAAAATAGATTTTGCACATGCTAACCAAAGGTTAGACTGGTAAAGCATTACTTTTTTTCTGAGTACAGTCCCATGGGTATACAAGGGTAACAGTGACAGCAAAATCCAGTCTACACTCTCTTTCTCACTGCTGCAGGTAACTTTCAGTGACAAAAGTAGGATCACTTTCTAAAGCTTTAAGTAAACAAGAGCTATTTTGCGGGACGGGAGGGGGGACAATATCTTTTTTTAGCTGAGGTTTTTGGTAAACCAAACTGCTGAGAATTTCCTGTGACAGTATGTGCTGAAATGCAAAATGGAATGGATTTGCTGAAAGCAGCAGCTAAGCAGACCATTTGAAAGAAGCATTTCACCTTCCTCTCTGTATGTATCGGAACTCTTAATGTATATTTGATGGCATTGTTAACACACCCACTTTCGATCCAGGAGGCTGAAGAAGAGCAGCTCGAAAGCTCCCTTTTGCACAGAGTACTGAGAACCTGCCTGAATAACCCTGCCCCTACCCCTCCAGCTGCTGGGGCTTCTATTAAATACTTTGAGATATTCATGTATGCCTATTTCCCAAACCCTAATCTTTATAGCAGCCCGCTGGCAAGATCACAAACTCCTGAATTTCACAGGGGAAGCAGAGGAGAAGCAGTCAACACAGCTGGTCCTGCTGGTCCCACCAGTGGTGTTGGCACCAAGGCTACTGCAGGGCCATGTTCCTGCTCCGTCAGTAAATTCCTCATTGGCAACCAGAGTCTCCTTTTGTCAAGGAAAACAAATACTATATGTGGAAAAAAGAATGAAAAAATCAAACAAGAAACCATCACCACCTGCCATTGCCTGGGGGCATCCCAAGCTGGCACTGCTTTGAAGAACATGTATAAAGGAACCCTCATTCAGTAGCAGGAGATTCCTAAATGCATTCCTAGAAGACTGAAGAGCTTTTATATCTGCCCACACTATACGACTCAGACCTGATGCTGCACTTTTCAGTTAGAGGGCCCCACCAGCGGGTATGGCAAACATATGCCTTGATACAGAAGGACATCACTACAGAGTGATGGGAGAAGCCCTCAAGGTAGCAAGGGCAACCCGAGCAAGTATCCCAAGCCACAGGTAGCTCACCAGACCACCTCAGAGCTGTCAACCCCTCTGTTGAGCCACAAGAGTTGAGCAAGGCAGTGACCACTGGTGCTCTAAACCCCAAATCACTGGTAGAAGAGAGGGGTAGCAGCCTTGGGATGACCAAGGAACAACATAGCACTGAAAATGCATGCCTCCGTTAAGTACCAGCAGTAAACCAAAAGCCTGTTGACCACCTCACTCCTGCACATCTGGGTGGGAGTGACCACATCCTTGCATGGGCTCTTGGGGCAGCCCGGCTCCTCCAGCTCCCTACAGCCCTCCACCTATCCTTTAGCCAGGATGTATGGATGCACATGTGTGTATACAGGTAAGTATGCATGAGTATGCATACTTATGCAATATACTCATATATACTCACACAATCCCTCCTCACCAAAATCTGAAGTCAAAAAGAATTGAAAAAGTCCACTGAACAATCCATAGCCTTACTCTTCTGTGCTAGATTTCTCCATGAAACACAGGCCTGTGATGCTCTTTATTTATACAGCAGAATGATGTCCAGTTATTTTCTTGTTTCCCATTCAATTTTCTTCAGCTTTAGTTAATTTCACAGACCAGGGAACAGAGATTATTCTATTCTTCCACCAAATCTGGCTCAATAGGATTCTTTCCACCCTATTTCCCAGATGTACGTTTGATTTTCTAATGTTTGCCCTGATACAATAATCCTTCAGCTTGCTCTGCTTTACATAGCCTCTTTTGAGTCACCCGTCCTCCCTGCAGCAGAGCTGGAAAGCAAGTAACTGAGCATCCCTGTTCTGAGCCAGCCCCTGCATGTTTCTCAGCCACGCAGGCTAACAGAGGCTCTGTTGTGCTCTGCACCCATAGAAACGTACCAGCCAAGCGAGTAAAAGGCAGAGGATAGATTCGTAGTATACAATGTTAGCGCTATCAAAATACAGCTGGGCCTAAAGAGCCTATTCAGAAGCTCTAGATCGTGCTTAAAAAGTAAATAAGGTGTCTTGAGCACAGCTGCCATGAAAATGCAGCTTGATAAAACAAGTTAAAAGGACATCTTACAAAGTAGCATGGGATACTGAGTTTGTTCTCTTAGTGCCCTCACACACCCAAAGAAAAATTGAAGACAGTGCAGTTTAAACAGCAAATCTGAATGTTTGGTAAATAACTAGAAAAAAGCCCTAATGAGATTTTGCCAAAAGCCAGAGGGTTGCAACTTACTTGCCCAAGATGATGGAAAGTAGGGCTAATTTTAAGCCTGTTTTCAGAGATGAAAATCAACACAGGCAGACAAGCCCAGCACAAGGCCCCCTGTACCACAACCACCCCAGGAGAGCACCTGATGGCCCCCACTGCTGTAGCTCTATAACCCTTTCAACCGAAAGCAAAGGTGATGAAATATACATATTCTGGGTACAGAATGGCCATGGGGCAGAGAAGAAAGATACTATCATCGCTGCTTGATCCTTGTGTTTAAAAGCTCCACTGTGGAAGGACAAATCTGAAGGCAAAAAGAAAAAAAGCAGCAGCACTCAACTATTATGGAGTTTTTCCTCCAGGACAGCACAATAGACAACTGCAACTTTCCAGGCTCTCATGGGGAAGCAGAGAGCTTCTGGTATCACAAGTGACCCTGGAGCAGCAGGCAGACAGCTGTGTGGCTCAGAGGCACAAACTCCCTGCTTTGTCCCAGGAAGAATCTATTCCTGATCTGCATTTGACTTTAAGAAGGCAGGAGATATCCTATGCCTCCGTACAAGATATGGAGAAGAGATGCATCTCTGCTCAGAGTTCCAAGGAAATTTTTTTCTCCATTAACTTTGCTAGAGGTTATTTCTTCATCACCTGTACTGTTCATAGTTTCTTGTTAGCAATCAATTTTATTATCAAATCTGAAAAGCTGTTATTCTTCCTACCAAACCTCAGAAATATGATGTTGAATTTAATATGCAGTAGTAGTTTTACAAAACTCGCAGTCCAACAGAGAACCTTTCCTTTGATTCCAACAGGTGTGTGCAGGAAAGCGAGGCTAAGAATTTACATTAATGAAAGAGAGAAAGATGCTACCAAAGCTAGTCAGCTTCCACCTCAGTCTGCTCAAACCATAACAGTGGAGACATCGCTGTTGACCTTTTGGGGCAATACTTTTAAACAGATGCCACTGCAAACATTTTAGCTCATTTTGAAATCTCTGGTTCTCATGACAAATTTTTAGCCTTGGGGTAATGTAAAAAGACAAGTTTTCACACACACACAAAAAAAAAGCAGGGAGAGGGATAGCACACTGATGCTGCTAACAGGGAAATGGAATGACAATTTGTTTGTGACACCTTACCTTATCCCCTGGCTGTGGTCTCATAAGAGAGACTTGATCATAGCCGCGTCGAACCAAAGCCCATAGTGCATCAAGTTTGCCCTGAAATAAAAATCACATGAGATGACCAAGAAAGCTTGGGATAACATCACGAAATTAAACTACAGCTGAGCTGATGCAGCCTTTCTGTATCAAACTCTATGAAAATTGGTCCTTGGCCTTTATTCTGGCTCTCTGGCATGCACGGGGCAGAGACCTCAATGTGGTAACACATACCTTATACACAGTGGGCCACACTCACCCTGCTCAAAATTCACTGAAGATGACAAGCTTAATGTGAACAGCACCTAACTGTACCTCTTTATGGAGTTATATTAGCAACAGGCAGAACAATGAAAGTGTTCTGTATTGGATAAACAGCCACTAGACCTAGGCAGGCATTAAAATTCACAGGTACTTTCCAGCCAATAAATTCAAGCACTGTTAAACCCATCTGTGAACCAGCCACAGCAGGATGGGGAAGGTGGAACTTCATTCCTGCACCCACAAAGTACTGGTTTGGGACTCGGCCACAGGTTTCTGGGATGAGTGTGGTACGTTCCTGCCTCCATCGGCACGAGCCCTCCAGCTTCCTTAGCTGTAAGCTGAGATAACAGCTCTGGGATTGTGTGAGGATACATACATTAGGGATGGGGAGACATCAGATACTATAATGACACAGGAGAAATGAGGATGAAAAAGCACGGAGAGACTGAGTGACGTACCCAAAATCAAACACTACATCTTGTGGCTGAACTAGAAGGGAAGAGAGCTGAATCCCAACCCCAGGCCTTAGCCACATTGCAGCTGAAGCGAGGACAGGGCACTCCATCTGATCCTCCTTGTATGCTGCCGTGAAAGAGCATACAACTGGGACCTTTCCCAGAAGAGCTGAGATATCTGCTGTTGCAACCCAGTCAGCACAGAATTTCCAAAAAGGGGTGAGATAAGAGCAGGAAGATTTCTGCTCCTGCCCTCCAACACGCCCCTCTACCCCCCAAAACTGTGGCAACACAAGGCCTGGTGCAACACATGTTCCAACAAGTGGGCCAAGTTGAGGCCACTTTTCTATATACAAGCTCTCCCAGCTCCACCATAAGAAGGGCTGCACTATGGAGGCAGGATGTAGTAGCATGTAGGACATAAGATTTTGTCAAACCAAGGAACAGATTCATTACCTTGATTGGAGTGTACCACTTCCTCTGAGAAGGCGGTTTTCTCACGTGGGGCTTTTTTGGCTTGGGTTCCCATGGCTCATACTCCTGCTCTGGCAGCTTAATTATAGCATTTTTAGGTTTTTCCAGTTTTGCTCCTTCCTCTGTTGATCCTTTGTCTCCCCACCGCACCTAAAGCCAGGAGAGCACATTGTAAGTACAGACATTTCTGTGGTCCCTCCCCTAAGCAGGTGCTTTTTGCAGATGTTAATCTAGTTCCATCAGGTAATCCAAATCTAAATCAGGTAGTCCAAATACCTCCAGACACAAAGCCAGATTTATGTAGGTACCCAATTGTCACTGTAACCAGATACGCATTTCTCGTGAAAGCAGTCTGAACTACCAGCATTACACCTTCTGGCAACAAAAGGTGTTGTGGGAAGTTGCAACATCTAGGGCAGATTAACTTATTTTCAAGTGAAATACAAAGCCCTGCTCTGCTAGAACACAGGTGTAATTTGCTTCCCATTGACTCACCCTAAAAGCAGGCAGCAGCACTAGCTGCAGAAAGGCAGTCATTTATCAACAGCCTTATTCTGATTAGTTCAAAAACTAAAAAAGGGCCAGGAAGAAAGACTGGACTGTCTTCTTAAAAGCAGCAGCCCTCAGACTCATGGGTAGAACACTACTAAAAACATCTCTTCCAAATGCACAGCCACAGAAGGGGACGGTAACTTTATCCTCACGTACCATACACTACTTATCTCAACCTGAAATTCTGCTTTTGTAGTCTGGCTCAAATAGAAATGTTATCCCACACTGAAGGGCAACACGGGAACCATGAGACTACTCAACCTGAAGGATAAAAATTCTGAACAAAATGGTTAAGGATGTTGTATAGCCTTTCAGGGATTTGCAGAGAAGCCACTGCTTTCATTCTATCAGCCCTAGTTTGGTCCAGAACCTCAGCTGGCTTACATCAGCCCACCTCCCTCTGCTACATACTAGATCAGATAGGAGTTTCTGGTGGGGCATTACTAGAAGTCATAAGTAGGATCTCAGCAGATATGAGTGAGTGATAACTCCCTTAACTAGTTCTCTTGGTTAGAAATATTAAATTGATTTCACTAATATTATGGTGATTTACAGGAGTTAGTAGCTGATCACAGCATTATCAAATGTATGTATCACAGGATAGCACAAGACATGTTTATTTCACAGTAATGCTTCACCTCACCTTACACATGAACACTGGCTTGTGCATAAATCCTAGGGCAAAATTTGATTTATAGGATAATTTCAACTCAGAGGATCAAGAGTGAAATTTTTCTCTGACAAGTTTTTGTGCATGTTCATTTTGTTAATGCTCAACTGAAAAAAAAGTCACTGTTTATAATTCTCAAAACCAACTGCTTCCAGCCAGGAACTGTGTAGACAACATCCTCAAATACTACTTTTTTTTTTTTCCTTATATATAAAAAAAGATGATCTTGTTTACTGTTAGGGTAACACTGTATCAGGGATTGTGGAGTCTCCTTCTCTGGAGATATTCAAAAAATGCCTGGAGGCAATCCTGTGCAACATGCTCTATGTGACCCTGCTTGAGCTGGGCTTTAGACTAGATGATCTCTAGAGATCCCTTCCAAACTTAGCAATTCTGTGATTCCAAAACAGCATAACTCTGCAGCAGACAAGAGAACTGGAGCCAACTGCATTGACTGAAGAGTTAGATTCAGTAACTCAGAACTTCTTTTGGTGCTTGTCCCATTTCTTAACCTGCAAATTTTCTCCTGCTCATAATGCTAGATTCAATTAATTACTCATGCAAATGTGCCAGATTGATGTCTGATACTTGGATGTCAGGTGCAATCAGGTGGACAAGCCTTAATTAAATCTCAGCCTCTACTCCAATGAAGTAGGTGTGTGGGTTTTGTTTTTAAACCCAAACACATTATTAAAGTTAAGCACATTTGCGTTGATTTTTACAACAGCAAAGAAAATACCTCCATCCTCTTAATTCCACCAACACCTCGGCCTCCGTAATAAGATGCATCCACAGTCGGCCACTTTTTCTTTGGCAATCCATCTTCATCATCTGATTCCTGTGGGAAAAACGGGGAGATGTTACTGTTGTTCTCACATAAATGGGAAACAAATGAACATCCTATGGTCCAATCCTTCGATATCTGGCTTTGTGTGTTACACTTACTTGCTGACAAAAAACAAAAGTGTCTTGTCTCTGCAGCTGCAAATTTAACTGAGAACTGCCTATTCCTCTTGCCTCTTCAGGCAGCTTTTATTTAGTCAAATATGCATTGAGCTTCAAAATCACAACTGACTTTTAAGGGATGGCAAAGTCCGGATGAATTGTACATTATACTGGCTTGCCACTACGCTGTGCAGAAAATGCCACAATCAGCTAACCCAAAGAAATCATTTATTAATTGTGCTTTTAGAACTTAATGTCACCTAACAGGGAAAAAGCTATCACTGTGAGATTTCTAACATGTGCATCAGGCCCTTTTCTCATGGCAGCTGTAACCAGTTGTTCTACGCTACTCGATTCTTTGCAGAGTCTGGCTCAGGCTGTACAGTTTGGAGCTGGGACTGAGACTGGAGCACCTCCAAGTTTTTAGGAAGTTCAGATCCAGAGTTTTTGACCTGCATTTCTAAAGACTGCAGATTTTCTTCTTCTGGAACGTGGGAGATTCTGAATCAGGGTTTTACTACAGGTTCACTGTTCTGTTCTTGCTTAACTGAAAGCTGGCAAATATTTCTCATTCAACAACCCTGGGAACACATCCCCAGCTCTATCATCTTGAGCTGTAGAAGTTACTGGGATTTCTCAGTCTCCCTGTCATTACACCAGAATCAAGGTGGCTGAAAGTCACACCATAACACTTTCCCTGGCAGTCCCAAGAATACATATGATTTAGGGAGGGGCCCAGCAAGCCTCTTACAACACTATTTTTGTTCCTCAAAAATTAAAAAAAAAACAAAAAACACACCTAATGTTGATATATAGATGTGAATGCTGCTGTTGGACAGGCCTCAATTTTCATCAATACAATAGCACTCAATTTTCATCAGTACAAGTATGATTCTAGAAACACTGTGGAATTTTTATTCAAATAACAATTTAAAAAATAAAATAAAATCAAGTGAAATCCAAATACTAGAGAAAGACAATTTGTTGCTAGGTTATTAGGTGACATTTTCTTGAAGTGGCCCTACATGTTTCTATTTCAATGTGAAAGGAATTGAGGCTCCAAAAGCCAATAATGTCTTTTTAAAAGCATGTCTTTATTTTTGCTTATTCATACTTAACTCTTAGGTTATGCCTTGGAGAAAGCTATTTCCATTCAGTGACATCTGAACTCTTAGCTATACCTCGTGGGTCAGTTCTTCCAACAAATTCTTCAGTAGAGCCAGGCAAGACATTTCCATTACTGGTAAGGAATTGGGGGTGTCCCCCTCAAGTCACAGAAATACACAAGGAAGTCATTCCGTGCATGTTTTGATGTTGTTTTGGAAGGGTATAATACACAAACCCATTTTGTGTCACATTAAAGACAACAACCAGTGAACTATATCAGCAGTTTTAATCTGTTTCACTTCATTGGGAACTTGAGCACTACATAAGAAACCCTGTCTCTTCCATGGGATGTAACAGATTTAAATTCTGTATGTCTAACAACCCTTATTACTGGAAAGCCTGACAGTTACAGGACAGTTAATTATGGCTTATGCTATTATTGTTGATAAAGAATTTATACTAAATATCTCCTATACCAAGCATGATTTTTGGTGCATATTCTTAAGTTAAATTGTCATGGTGCTGCTGCCCAGGACAAGCAACAGGATCACAGACACAGCAATGGTGGCCTTTTGCAACCTCAAAACAGCAGCTGTGGTTGTCTCCTGATATTCATGCCAAGTTAGAGCAAATTAGCAGCAAACTGTAGGCTTCTCTTGTGGGTTAGGCAAGTATATTCCACCCTTTAACTGCCTGTGCCTAGGAAAAGAACAAAGGCTGGCATGAGCTTCCTCTGGAAATGCTTTTATTTCTTGCTATTACTTCCATCAAAACAGTAGAGTGAAACCTAAGCTGAGGTCAGGGCCTCTGTGTGTTACAGTACCAAAAAGAGCTCAGTTCAGCCCAGCCTCCAACAGCTCACAACATAAATAGAGAAGGGCCAAGTGTCCTGCCAAGGGTCAGGCTGCAGCAGAACCACAGCCAGAGGCCGGCTCCTGCTCACTCCCCTGTAAAGCCACAAGAATGCAGTCTTCACTGTCGTTTCTTTCAGCTGACAGACTTTGTTTTTTACTTCCAAAGTAAAAAACTAAAATGCTGCTGAGAACAGCAGCTCTACTGGAGGAGGGATGTTTTTGATGCTTGAGAAGCAAAGATTTTCCTCCACACACCTGTGTGATGCACAGCAAAAGGAACAAAATACCATACAACCTGTGGGTCTGCAGACTTCCAAATTACGCAACTATTTTCTCTGAGAATGAAAATAATCTTGCTGTAGTTATATAAAGAGGCCAGAAGGCAGAAATAACTGCCCTGACCCAAGAGACTTCCTCTCTCAGCTTCAGGGTGTCATTAAGACACCTCCAGGGCTGATGCTCCTGGGCAGTACGATGCACTACAGTGGCTGCAGTGTGACAGCTCAGAAATAGCACACTTACAGGTTCCGGAGGTGGTGGTGGAGGTGGCTCCTTGATCACCTGGAATATATAAACAACAGAAGAAATCCGAGTTAATAGTAGGGCTCATCCATCCCAGTGCTACGCCCTCTCTGCTTTCATGCTTGTGTCATACATGGGTTGCCCTGCTCTGTTCCCCCACATTCAATTCTCTTATTAGCCTTTCTGCTTTTCAGCAGAGAACGTTAATGCAGATGAGAAGCTAAACCCATCAGATTGAACTGTCCAGTAAGTGAAGTGCCTTCTTAAGTAACTCATAATACAGCTCCACATCCTGGTAGTTCTGCCTTAAAATGTCGTGTGATTACCAAGCTAGTGCAAAATATTCATTCAGAATCTGCAGTTCCTATGCATAAAAAAAAGTCTAGCTCTAGTGTTTAATAGCAGAGCTTATGTACATATTAGTAGATCAGTTTCATTACGCTCTTCTGCAGCAGGTGCCAAAGCTTGTTTTACAGAAGCATCGACCCCTGTAGAAACTTGGGCCAAGCTCAGGCAACAGCAGGAAAAGGAACTGAAGCCTCTTGAAGCTCTCACGTGCTGTTTATTTGGCTACTTCTATATATTTCATTTGGTATCCTCTTTTGCAAACACTGCACTTGACCCTGCAAGTGTCCCTCCTGTGGAAAAACCTCAAGGGAATGACTGATTACTCACGGCACACAGCACCACAAACAGCAGACTATAGTTACTCGCACGGATAGCAACATTTGTGCTGCAGCACCAGGACCACCACATGTTGTAAAGAGACCAGGCTTCCAGCCCTGCCTGGTGCTTACTGGCCCGTGTGAAATGTCCACAACTTTCAGCTCTACACACATTAAACTCTGACTTGCATGTTTAACAAATAATGCAAAAGCATTTCTGATTTACAGGCACTTCAAAAATTGTGCAGAGAACTTGCGTCATATAACTTTCAGGGTATCTAGGCATCGTTTCACCCAAATGCATGTGCTCTAGTCAGCTGATCTATTTTTGGAATAGCAGTGTGGGCATTTGCACCCTACATTACTCTGACTGTAGCTAAGGGTAGATCTTATCTGTGATGCACAGTGGAATGCATTACAGAATCCATAACACTGCAGAGTCAAGCTACTTGGTCCACTACTGCATGAAGAAACTAGAAGTCCAAACCATTGTGATCGTTTTAGCGATAAGCCAAGAAAATGGAAATCAAGTAAAAATAAATAAATCTGTACTTACCACTGTGCAGCAAAGGGGCCAGAACCACCAAAGAAGAGCCAGAGCCAGCAGCAGAAAGAGAATCAGCAGAGCAATGAAAAGGATGGTTCCAGTCAGCTGCAAAAAAAGATGATTGCTTCTGAGTTATCTCTGTAAGCCAAAAATGAGGCTGGAGCCCAGAATTTATGCAATTAGATTGGGCAAAATGAGCCAGGTTTCCCTTACTACAAGGGCTCACTTAGGCAGTGCAGTAAATCATTGTTATCATTAGGGTCTCATCAGGATTTAGTGTGACAAATGTGTATTTGAAGTCATGCTCCAGGAAAGCACCTCCTGTTTGTGGTATTTATATCTGCAGTTTATATATAAATTTACAGTACGCCTATAGATCACTAAACTCAAAGGAACTAAAACTGTACACAAACCATTCCCAGATCTGTGCTGACAGGTCCCTTAATACTGTCAGAAGGACATTTCAAACTACATGGCCAGACTCAAGTAATCTTCCATCACTAGAGATGCAGAATATACCAATGTTGATATGCAAAGAATAGGAATATTGAGGCTAGGAGCTTACAGGTAACTTAACATGTCAACATCACACAATAGAGCAAAACTTATTATTATCTCGGCCTCAACAGCTCCCACACCAGCCTCTGTTGCCTCTTGACTCTAACAGCACACAACCCCAGCCTGAGGACTTAGACAAACTAGTCATTAATGCTGCTGGTTCTTGGTATGCTTCTTGGGACTGGTTTGACTTTTTAATAACATGCTGTGAGCTTAACCATTCCTCTTTCTTATATTCTATCTACCACTCTGCAGGTGGGAGTCTGGGGTCAAATAGTTAAGGAACTACATTCAAAACAGATGTCAAGTTTTCTCTAAAGAGTTCAGAATTAAAAACAAACAAACAAACAAAACAAAACAACAACAACAAAAAAAACAAAAACAAACAAACAAACAAAAAAACCAACAAAAACAACAAAAACAAACAAAAAAAACAAACAAACAAAAAACACACACACACACACAAAAAAAAAACGAAACATTAACACTTGAAACTAGCTTTTCCTGTGGAAATCTTGCTCTGAGTGCAAACATGACAAGATGTGCTGACTGAGTATTGCTCTGATAACTATAGGAAAGCAGGTCTTTGATGTGCTGCTTGGCCCCTGCAGAACATATAAACCACATGGCTTTTTGGAAATTAAACATTTGATGCAGATGAACAGTGGCATGGTGAGACATGCAGTTTCCTCGGACTGCAATGGGCTCTGGGATGAGGTTAATATTAGCTCTGGTGATCCAGACCTGTGAAAATAAACCTCTTTAATGATAAATTGAGCTTAAGAGGTTTAATTCACCAGCAATTGGGATATCAGAGAATAAGAAAAAAACAAGAAACAGTAGCAAACTGGAGGACAGCCTGGGACTGGGAATTGAAAAAAGCTTGAAGAAAGATCTGTCAATCAGGATGAGGGAATGTGAGATGGCTAGAGAGAAAGCTATAACATGCTTTGAAACAAGGATAGGTTGGACGTTTAATGGGAAGAAAGCAAGTTCCAGTGCAGATGCATGGAGGTTAAGGTCCATGAGATTTACCTTCTTAAATCTGAAAACTACTTGCTGAATTCTCATGACAGGACAACTCAAACTCATAGCCCCTTCTTTCAACAGGGCTTCCCTTCATTGTTCCTAGTTGATTTCTTTTATCCCTCAGACAGCAAAAAGGCTGAGGGTAGAAAAGAACGTATGGGCTGATTAGAGTTTTGCAAAGTCTAGATGAGATCCTGAGTGGCTGACTAGGGTGATACCTGCTCTTCCTCAGGCCAAATCTTAGATCTGTCAGGACTGGCATGTGAAGACACGACTAACCTATCTACTGCTCCTACACCATGCTTAGGCATGGGCCGCAGTATCCCACAATTCTAGCACTGCATAACCAACCCTCCACTGCTCTTCAACTTCTTGTCTCAGATGCAACAAACCAACCCGTTCTGGGATACACTACATAGCTCACATCGTTCGTTAGGTCAGGGAACAGGAGAAAGCCAAGGTGGAATGCCAGGTGTCCTGCCCAAAGGAGTCCTGTTGGAAGACACTACCCAGCTGTAGCTCAGCTGCATCCCCCTCTGGCACACCCCTGGCCCCAAACAGCACTAAAACATTTGGGAAACTGACACTTGGGAGATATCAACTCCCAGTGAAGCCAGTTTGCTGAGAAAAGAGTGATTAAAATCAAGTATAACTTTTAAGAGGCGTTTCTGTACTCCTTACAACAAATCCAAGCACAGCACCAATGCAGCACATGAGCCACAGACACATACATACCACTGCTACTGCTACTGCAAACACACATTGCCTCCTTGTCCTGTTCCCAGGCGTTGCTTTTCCCATGCTAAGTACTCATATAAATCACCAAGACATTTGCCAGCAGCAGCTCGGGAGCTGCTGGCAGCAAGAAGCTAGAGAGTCCTCTTTCCGTGATCGAATATACAAAGCATTGTAATGAAGCTGGACTTCGAAAAAGGAAATAGCAGACTTAATGCAGCTGAACAGAAACAAGCACAGGGATTGAACAGAGGCTTTAGGAGTAAAGTCAGGAGAAGATACTTACTGTACAGAAAGGACAGAAGCGCCAGCTGGGGAGGAGAGCTGAGCAGGCCAGCTGACTGCCGCTCACAGAAAAAGGAGCAGGAGAAGAAAGGAAATGGAGGGAGTCTCTAAAACAATAAGAGTGAAAGGCATGAGATTAGGACAAAGTTGGAAAGTGAACTACCAGCCTCCCTGCTTATGGAATGCAACTGGGATATCTTTCCTGCACCAGATGAGAATCAGGCCCCTTGCCTCCTTCACATTCAATCTGCAGGAGCTGGGCAAAAAACGTGAGATTGACAGGACTGGAGATTGGAGTTCTCTCTTTATCCTATGGCTATTGAGAGGAAAGCTTCTTCCGACCACATTCTGGCCTGAAGGGACCCCAGCTAGGATTAAGACTTCAGCCTCCATCAGAAAAATTACATGTGGGTAACTAAATGCACCAGTTAACATTGTGTTTCACTGCGGACTCAAAAGGCTTCACGGTATCTGGGGTAGAAGGGAGTAAAGTATGGAAATATAAAGCCTTAATGTAGAAAACTTGGAGGAAAGTTTGTAAAAAAAATATAATTATATATATATGGCAAAACTGCAAAATCCTCTCTCTGCTAGACTCTGCATCCTGACACCCTGGGCTGTTCCATCAATCTGCTGTAAAATTTCCCAGCTGCATTGCTGAAAACATCAGAAAATCAAGTCGCTGTTTCCATTCCAGTCTTTCTACTCTGCAGCTATCAGAAAAGCCAACAATGATTACAAACCAATATGACAGCATTTGGTGTAGGCTATAAAAGTCCTTTTGACACTAACAATAATAATAAAGCCCAGCTTCGATACCAAATGCTTAATACCAGGTACTTTGGCAAACTTTTAGTCTGCAAGCACGAGGCCCAATCTCTAGAGTAAACTGTTAGCTTGCACTAGCTATTGTTGTTGCTTATTTCTACTCCATAGCAAGGAAGAAAACTATTTATCTACTTGTAGTCAGCTTTTTTTAAAATTCTAAAATCAGTTTTTGCTGAAAGATCACTTCTAGCTGCTGGTCCCTTACCCTCCCCCGGGGAAAAATGGTCTTCCTGACATCAGCCAGGATATGTGTAGCAAAGCCATTGCTGTCCCACAGCAGGACATGCTCCTTTAGCTGGGCAGCAGCCTTGTATCAGGAAGCTCACCACAGGATTTGAGGCTGGTATCTTTCTGCTCATCCCCCATGATATCAAGAGAAAAGCAGCTACTTCCTGTTGTTAAAAGTGCAAACAAAAAAACAAACAAAAAAAGCCTTGGCAAGTCCTGAACTAGGTAAATTGTGGAGGTCTAACAACAAATGCAGTGAACTCCAACCACAAAATAAAACATGGAAGTTTAGAGGATCTTCCACGCTGTGGCCCTTCTCAGTCAAAGTTCCAAAATTTGTACATTTCACCTCAGACTCCACAGGTGATCCCAATGCTCAATAGCATATTGCTTCTTGATGCTCTTTCTTCCATTTTCATGGATTCCCTTCTAGCCAGATCCTATCTATAAGGACATTTCTCTCCTGGGATAGGAACAGGCCCGGAGACTTTTGTTGTAATTGTTTACTCCATAATTATACCACAATCTAGCCATCAGCAATTATGATTCAGCCTTAACTAGCCTGGTTATTTTTCAAGGAACTGCTGGGATTCACTCAACAACTGTGATGCTGAAGCTGACTGAGCATGAGCTCCCTGCAAGGAGGCTTTGCCTGAAGAGCCACTGCCTCTTTCCTAGGTCTCATGGTTTCTCTGTCAAGCCCCATTGCAATTACTTACACACTGTGTGCTGGTGATGCTGACAGAGCTGGAGATGAACGTTAGCCCGTTGTTCATGCTGACTTGCAGGAAAACCACCCTAAAGCACAAACAGATACACTTATTTTTAGTGTCATCTTTATACTCATTGTTCCCTTTATTCCGGCTGTGTTTTAGCCATTGGCTGATGAACATGCATGGATAACATGCCCTGCTGAGTCAAGCCATTATTGTGGCTTCAGGTGCTCACCTACCTCTGTCTCTCTGCTTGCCCAGGAGCCATCCTTTTTATGTTGGTTTAATTGAGTTGGGACATATGCTCTTTATTTAAAAGTCTCCATCCCACCTGGGGCAAAGGGCACTAGGACAGTGAATTGTAGCAGTCTCAGACATTTGCAATACTACCCTAGATAGCACAGGAAACCTCCAGACTTTGCTTTTATTTTAAATCTTTCTGGAGCTTAAAGAGACAGTATTTTTTTTCTTTTTAAAAGCTTGTCTAAGTAAAGTCAGAGTACCTGCACAAGGTAAGGGGAAAAATTACTGAAACTGCAGTGAAATTGAAACAGAATCTGGCCCTAGACATTTTCCAATATCAGAGAAAGGGAGAAAAAAAGTTTCCCCCACTACTCAAAAATAGGGAAGGGGAGGGAGACCCCAGTACAGTATTTAAGGACCCAGAAGATTACCAAGGAAAAAGCTACAGCCTTGTGCCATGTCTCCCTGAAGTCTGCAAGATCACAATGGCTGAACAGTACCAACACTAACCAAAGCAGAACAGGGGCAAAACACGGAAAGCAATGTAAACATCAACAAAAGAATTCAGGTTAAGTATCTCTTTTCAATCAAAATGAAAAGTTTGCTTGGAACTCAGTTAACTTTTGGCCTGGAAAAAAATGGAACAGGAACTGAGGAGAAATTACACAGGCATCCTCAAAAATCCTCCCCACTAGCATCTGAAACCCTCCCTCCCCACTCTTCTTATTAACTCTAGCTTTCTTCAAGTCATCTCATGGCCAATAGCCTTCCAGCTGCACTGGGTTCATGGGGGAAGACTTCCAAGATGTCTTATTAGACCGCCCCTCCCAGGCAGAGCCCTCAAGTTCTAGAGATGCAGTACAGAACAGCTGCAGCTAGCTGGACTGCAGCTTCCTGGGCAGGCTGCGGTGGGAAGGTCAATCCTAACACCCATCAGCATCCACAGAAACAGAGTAAGGACTGACACCAATGATTACGGTGACTTAGTGCAGCTGTATCTCCAGAGACTGTGTATGACATGGGTCCAATGATGTCAAGAGGTTTGTGGCACAGCTGTTGTGGGAGTTTTTATCACCAGCCCTATTCTTCATTGAATAGAACTGCACTGGCTCATGCTAGGAGGGTATTTGGTATGCACAAGATTGCCCTAATCCCATTACAAAAATTAATCTTCTTAGCTTGGCACTTTGGGTGAAATTATGAGCCCTTGGCTCAGTAATGACATCCCCATCCAAAGTCCCCTCTCTCCTGACACCTACTGGAAAGCAATACTTACTGTCCAGCATCTTCTATTACTGGAGCAGGGCAAAGCAGATAAGTATCATGAACAAGGGTTGGCTTTTCATCTGAAAAGGAATTAATACAACTGTCAGAAATGAGAAAAACCTCAAGCAACAACAGTTATTAGAGCTGTTCTTTCCTGTTTCTCCCATCCCAAGCACACCTGAAGACACAGCTCATTTTCATGGCCTTATCCTGCCAAAGCAGGTAAATTAGTGATGTGTTTTAGGGCCAGCCTGATGGTGGAAAACAGCACAGCCAACATAGATCAGTGTCTTATCACATCAGCTGCTGCAGACCTAACCCAAGGAAAACACAGCATAAAGGACATATGGAATTAGGGCAGTTTTTCTCCTTTGTACTTCTAGGTCAGCCCTAGCACTTGCAGTGTGAAATACAGTCAAGGTACCAGTGGGTTAGGGACAAGGAAGACAGCCAGGAGTTTGGCTACCTGGTAAGCCACAAGAAGCAAATCCCCAGCAAAGGGCATCTGTAAATGTGACGGGAGTGAGACCACCAGAGTTTATTTAACACAGCCTCTATGTAGGCAGCAAGGATGGGAAATGAAGGAGCGATTCATGCGTACCCTCTCTAAGCAAATTCACTGCTAGGGAAGGCACCAGTCTGGCCGCAATAGAGTATGAAAGCCCCTACTGTGCTCAGCCAACAAGGGCAGCATATAGAGAGAAGGAGCCAAGCTCCCCTCCCCATGCCATGCTTCACCCTGCCAGACACACACTGCTTCTCACGAAGAAGAGAAGACTGCTGAGAAAATGGACACTCGATCTTTTTTGGCCATTCAGTCCTTTTCCTGGCTGCTGAGAAACCAAACAAAAGACCCCGTTGAGCACAGCAATTACAGGGAGTTTCCACGTTACACATTCTCTGCGATAAGACCGGCAACTTGTGTCAAAGAGGAAAGGAGCAGGGCTGAAGGGCCCTGCTTTATGGTAAGCATCTTCTGAATCAGTGAACAAATAGCTTGAACACACCACCAGGGTATCAAGATAGCATTATTTATTTTTTCTGGAGGTGATCCATGGAACAGGGAGCAATTTTATTTCCTTCCTGTTAAAGCCCAATAGCCAGCCCTTGCTGGCTGTATGTATTACCCACGTGAATCGTTACAGCTAGCCTGGAATTCACTGTGCAGCAGTATCTTCTGTATAAGCCCTCACAACACAATGCCCACAGGTTGTAAGACTGAAAAAGGATGAATTTCAAGCTGCTAGATGCATATCCCCACCCATCTCCCTGACATCCACTGCAAGGGCTCCCCTGATACAGATGGGAGACAGGCTGCATCCCATGGGATGACAGCCAGTGGGGAACTGGAACCCCGCAGCCTGAAGACTTACTGATAGTAAGGCTGTCGTTGAGCTTGAAGCTGCAGAGTACCTGGTCGATATTTCTTGCATGATAAAAGCCATTGCCTCTTACCACAACTTGAAAGGATTCTGTAAGTAAAAGTACAAAAGAGTTACGAGAAATAGCCCAAATATAGCATTCCCTTCCAGAGTGGTCTGAAGTACAATGTGACAACAGCTGTTCTCCGCCCTGTGTCTGAATCCAAGTGTTCACATTGACAATCAGTACTTAGCAGCAATAGCCAAGAGTATTATAGTGACATTGGTGCTTTGCAGAGCAGCATTCACCTCGAAGGTGCTCCCACAAGCATCCCACAGACCTCCAGTGCCTCAAAAACACTGCAAGCCTGACTTGGCTGATGGTATCTCATGGTTCCTCCACAGCTTTGGGGGCAGATACCTTCTGTAATCACAAGCACCAGGCTTTCCTCTTTTCTTCCCAGCAGATCACGCTCTGGTCTCAAGCAACAACAGCTGCTCTGTTCAGTAAGACATGGAAAACAGGACCGCCCTCCTCACCCCGCCATGAAACAGGGGGAAAGGCTTTTTATCTGGCACAAGCCCTGGTGAAAGTCTTTCAGTCTGTACAAGAACTGAACCTGTGTATAGCCCCACTAGCATCTGCTGCATGTTTTACTTCTCCATAGCAAGGTTTTAGAACTATTATTAGTTCTATTATTTGTATTTATTACTAAATATTAGTTACAACCTCCATGGCTAACACTTCTTCCCAGAGCTCTGACAATACCTGAACACCCATCTAAAAATTATTTTTGTCTCTTGATTTTATAGAAAAGCAGCTTGATGAAATATAATTGCAGTTAGATCCTCCCCCCATACTAAATCTTAAAAAGCAGCAACCACAAAGATTTCAATGAGAAGTATTTTAGTGGTTTTAAAAAGATACAAAAAAAAAAAAAAAAACAAACAAAAAAAACCAACACGAAGACTTTAAAAACAAAAAGGTAAAAAAAAAAAAAACTACATCTAGAGGTCTAGTCTTGTCAGGACAGGTTACCCCTCCTGCCCTTCTTTTCCCCATCACTGCCGTTCTGCACAGTCACTTGTGAGAACTGACTTTGGAATAACCTGCCCATCAACACAAGCTGACAATTGAGTTTCAATCCCAGACTTGCAGGGAAACGCAGACAGCTGGTACAGGATTTGGTTATTGCTGTTGAGAAGTCTGCCCCTTGAAACGCTCCTGAGCATTAACATGTTCTGGGTGATGGTCTGTTGAAATGGCTAATTCCATTTAATTTTGCGCCCTGGCTCTGGCTGCGTCCTTTTCTTCCTTAGTTACTGTCAGCTCGTAGTTTGCAGCTTTTGACAAGAAAGCGAAGGGAAAAAGGTCAGCACTGAAATAACCGGGCAGCGCTGGCAGCGAGATGGTAGGTTGGAGCTGGTGTGCGCTGGCTGCGCTGTCGGCTTCACTTCTGTGACTCTGATGAGAAGCTGACGGCTTGCATCCACACCTGGGAGTTGATGTGGCCAGTAGGATGCCACATCCAACAAAACCTTTCAATCACATTCATGTACCGTAAGCATAATCAAAGCAACGATGCTGTCAAACAGGATATGAGGCACCTCCGCTGCGGCACTGATAGCCTGTTTACAGGCTGCACGTCTTGGTCACTTTAAATCAGAGGGAAGAAAAAGGACCCAACTCCGTTTCTCCACAGCGGGGATGACAAATTTGCAGGGTCAAAAAGCATTAAGCATCAGATAGCTGTCATAACGCAACTAGATCAATTTGTAAACGGACTCACTGGATAGCTTTGTCACAGAGAGCCAGAGCACCAATAGGAATTGTCATAATTCAGCTTCAACCACATGGAAATCGTTTCATCAGCAATTTACTAAACCTCTGGCAAATCAAAAATGAAGCTGAGAACACCAGTAATCAGCACTGTTGTAATTATGAGCTGCAAGAATCATTGTGAGCTGCAAGAATAATTGTGAGGAGTAGGTCAGTCTGCTCTAATCCCCAGTACAGACTGGCTTCCACTGAGCAACACAAAGCCTGTCTGCTTCCATACCAGATTCTAGAAATAAGTAATAATGTTGAATAAAATCGAGACTGATTCTCCCCTCCTTACTCAGATAACATGCACACAAGAAATGCACGGATAGATCCATATTTCAAGGCTAAAAACAAGCAAGCTGTTTTGCTGGAGAATGTCACAATATATGTCACTTCCAAAAAATTAAGTATTTTTGGATCAAAATTTTGAAATGCAGATTTTAATTATACGTTCTTTTTTTTTTAAAAATAAAATTCCTGACTAAAAGAAGAAGGGGGACAAACCTTATATTTCTACAAAATGTTGTGTTCCAATTTTCAGCCAGCTCTAAATGCACATTCTACATATTTTCCTATAGGATTTAATGACCATGTGACCTTATTTCTTACCTATAATATATTACCAATAAACTATATTAGTGATTACCTAAATTTATGTGTTTTCAAATTTTTAGATTACTTCAGATGCCTCAGGACTTGTCTGTGTTGAAGTCTGAATAATGAACATTACAAAGTCACATTACATATAGAAAATAATTATTATCTGACTCTCCAGTGAACTGAACTCAGGATCTGGATTCACACTACCATGAAAAAAGTTGTTCAATCCAAGGGGACCCCTTCCAGGAGACAATAGTGCTCACAGCTACAAAGACGAACCTCTGGCTCTGCTGAAGGAAATGGGATTACTCAAAACAATAAAGCGAAGCACAAGCATAAGTATTTGCAGCCACGTGCTGTAGAACTCTTGCTGTTGATTCCAAGTATGGCTTGCAGGACTAAGCCCATAGTAAAAACTATTACAATCCCAATTCTTGATGTTAAAGACCATTTAACCCACATGTTGACAGCTTGCACCACTTAGAGCTGCACTTGCTGCTTCCTCCTATTTTCGAGCTCTCTGCTGCTATAAGCAAACCTTCAGGCACCTGAGATCCACATCTTCATGCCCTGATGATTCAGTAACATGCTTTGCTCTGAGCCCACCTTTGCTGAATGACTTCATCAGCGGGGACAGAACAAACCCCAGATTTTAAGCATCCTGCTGAGTTAACAGAACACAAAAAAAATTGTTTGAGTTCAGTCAAGAATTGAGCTGATTCGTTTTTCAAAACATTTTCGCTCTTTTTGCTGGAAGATGTCGTTTCCAAAAATCATGTAATCAGAGAACAGTTTGGGTTGAAAAAGACCTTAAAGATCATCTAATTCCAAACCCCTGCCATGGGCAGGGACACCAAAGGTAAACTTTTCCTGAAAAGGCAGGCACTTAAGAACTTTTGCAAAATATTTTGCAAAAATCGAAAATTTGAAAAAATTGTTTTCAAATTCTATGTTTTGATATGCTTAACATTATGCCAAATCAGTACTGGAGCTGTCACACTTTCATCTGGCTAAAAGCAATTTTCGATAAGCAAGAAAACTTGCAATAAGTTGTTATGCAAAAATATGCCTGTTGTACAGCAAGAAAACAAATGTTTTGCTATGAAATAAAAAAGCTTTTAAGTTGTTTTGATTAGTTCTACAGAGTCTGCAAAGAATATTTTTAAAAGCAAAATTATTCCTTTTTGAGATTTTCCACAGATTTTTACGACAAACGTCTGTTCCACACTTACATGTTTAAGAATAGTTCAAAAGATACAAGGATATTTGTTCTAAATTTAAATACTACGGGCAAGATCATACTGCGATTGACATGTGGAAGTGAGTGAACAATTTCTCTTTTGTGCTATTTAATAGATTTTTCCTGAACCTCTTATTTTATATCCTGCATTTGTATGCACTCTTTTTTCAGTGGATGAGGAAGTGAACACAAGACATGAACATCAGATCTAAATAACCATGCCATAAACTATACTGTCCAGCAAACTTAAGGTGTCACTCTCTCTCTGCTGCAATAGCTTCTTAAGTAGGCAAAAAAAAAGAGCAAGCTGCTAATGTAAACAGAACAAATACAAGTTAAATATACCAGACAGAAAAGGCACGAAATTATCAGCAGCTCCTCTTGGGATTCTTCACATTTGCCTGTACCCTAATAGTTCTTTCAGTGCAAGTAAGTAAAACACTAATGCTTCAGAGAATGTCAGGTATCTCGGCCTATGCAGTTAGCTAATTACATCTGGTTCAGTAACCCTGAAGTTTCTGACTGTTCTGTAAAATCTTGTTCTAACTGCTGACAAGCCCTAGCAGCTCTGCGGAACGCAATCTTTCCAGAAATTTGTGAGATGTTGCGTTAGGCATTAAGATAGCCTCTGGCAGTCTGGCTTTATATCACTTTTGTCTCCTCCTTCTGTTGGATGTTTTAAAGAGCAGTATCTCCAAATTTCCCAGTACTCTCTCAGAGAGTTCTTCAAGCCAGCGTTCAGAGGCTACCTGCGTATTGACACCAGCAACTTCTCAAACTCAGAAGGGATTCACGAGGCTTCAGCTGCAGCCCCAAGGGATCTCTCCAACACATCCACAGGCTTCATCTCTGACACTATATCAGGTAGTTACTGATATTTCATCAGTGTTATTGGTTTGCCTTAGCACATCATTCTTGCGGAAGCTTACCTCCTGCACAAACACTGGATGGCTCAGCTGCTAGGATCTCAATGCAAGATTTCTTGAGAATCTGTAAGATTTAGATAAATGCATTTTTGGTGATCTTTTTATCTATGCTTTATTAACACAGGAACGAGTACCTTTTTTTAGGTTTCAGAATAGCCAACTTACTGAATCAATGGTTCCTCTAAGGGCATAAAAGCCTCCCGTAACTGGAAAAACATGATCGATGCTGTCAGCAATTGTTGACAGCTGCAAAGAAAGACAATCATAAATCATGAGGAAAATAAAATCACAGTGAATAGAACTGGGCTCCTTCATACTTGCTAAAAGACATCATACTGACACGAAATGATTTATGCCTCAAGTAATTAAATAAATGCCTTCAACTGATGCTGTTATTTCTGCACTAGTGTAACAAAAACAAAGCAAGAAGCAAGCAAGCAAGATTACCTGAGTTTCATTGAAGTCTTTCACTCCAACACAATAAACAATAGCTCCAAAGCTTCTGGCTCTGTTGGCCTACATGAGAAAAAGAGACAGTAAGTGCAAAGCCATGTAATCAGTAGAACCAAAACAGTAAATGCCTACACATGAGCTAGTTTAGGTAAACATGAAGGTGACTTACTTCTTGTTCTGCATAATAAAACTGAACATCTTGCAACTCTCCATCCGTCAGAGCAATAATCACACTAGCAGTCCGAACTCCTACATGGACAACAGTTAACAGTTAGAGCACAGACAGATGACACAAGATTGAACAATGAAAGTAAGCGAAGTGACGCATGTCTCGTTGCTGACAAAAATACAAAACCACAAGGCCAGACTCTCAGCCTGATGTGTATGGACTTGATTGGAGATGCACTGATCTACCCCAGCTGAAGGTCAAATGCATGGCAACATGCAACAAGCAGGAACCCATGCACCTTCATCACACACAAGCAGCACTTAAAGGGGAGTAATGCTCTGGCAAAGTCCATGCACAAACTTTGTCCTGTGTAAAACACAATATCTGGCCAAGGCTATATCTAGACCCTTCATGTGGGGAAATGGCAAAATGGAAAATACTTCTCTACATGAGCATTGTCCAGAGACTGCTGATATGAGACCTCTGCAAGAGGAGCTTTCCTACCACCCTACCTTTCCTTCCATCAGGTTTTAAAGCAGCAACCCCACTGAACACAGCACGAAAAGGTGCTGCCATAGGGGGAGGGTCAGTCCTATACTTCTCATGCAAGAAAGAGTGTTAGTGAAGTTCATAGGAATTCTGAGAGCAAAAAAAATGCAAGCCCAGATCCACTGGAGAAAATACATGTCTTGTGCTAAGCCATTTCATGTCCCAACTATTCTTATATGAAAAGAATGCACAGACTTTGGATAGCTATGTATGTAATGTGCTACAGTATACAATATGACCTGGAAAAATGCAAGATATTAAAAATTTAATCCCAAGTAATATGCAAACTATGGTTCAACACACCATTCTGCTTCAATAATTCTCACTAATGTGTGCACACGTTACTTTCAGGGAAGTATTTATTATTTTATCAGAATAATCTGGTACAGTTTCAAGTGTCTTTCCTGATACTGTCTGAAACTAAAGACTGATTAGCTTTGACAGGTTTCTTATGCCATGCAGTCCTTCCCATGTCATGTCAACACAGACATAAAACCTTAAAAATGACCTGCAACTTTGGAGGGGAAAAAAAGCTTGGATTCCCATATTTATCATTTTTTTGGCTGAGGATGCCTGAAAGAGGCCATAAAGAATCTAAACTTTGTTTTCTTCTGAATTTTTGTTTCTTTCCCAATACTTTATTTTATAAATCCAGATGTCATCTACTCCTTTTTCCTTCCTAATCAACTTAGCTAGGAACTAAGCAACTACTCTCTGTCTGTTAGGAAGAGGTAAAACAGTTCTCTTTAGCTCATCAAAACTCTTGATTTGCCTGGTAGAAGCAAGTGAGAAGCCATACAAAAGAGTTGCTGCTCAAGACTCCACATGCACACCCTATTTTATTATAAGGCATTGACACTTAAGAATCTTACAAAAAGGCCATCTATCTACAAATGGAAAAAAAACTAATTTCAGGGTGCAAACTAGGCAGAAAGTGCTCAGTTCAACTTCTTAGGCCTGTTTTTTTCTTTTTTCTCCCCTCTCCCACAGAAAAAACAAAATAAAACAAACAAAAAACAACAACAACAACAAAAAAAAAAACAAATATATTTCCCTCTCCAAATTTAGCAAAAAATTGCATAACAAACTCAGATTCTAATCCTAACTTTTTCACACTGATGGAAAAAATCTCCAGCTGATCACACTCGTACCTATGCTAACAAGAAGGAGAACCTGGGGGCACGAAGCAGACAGGGCTGAATTCATCAAGGCAGGGAGATTCATCAGGACAGAGCAGGGCAGGGCAGGGTGAAGGTGTTCCTGTCCCCTAGATGCAGTATGGGCAGCTCCGGCTGCAATGTTCTGGTCTGTATTCTGCACTGGGTCAGATCTGGGATTATAATGGTCTCCTCTGGTCTTAATAAACCATGAATCATGCATCTGAAAGTAGGGCTGTAGTCAAAATGGAATGCAATGATTGTGTAACACCAGTCCCTTCTCCAACACTTCTTTCAGCGGGTTTACTGCAGGTCACATAAAGAACACCATCACCCCTGTCTTTTCCATGCAGATATGTAACAATTGATAAGCAATGCCTACCTCCATAGGTTTCATGGTAAATCTGCTCATTTGCCTGCAACAAATTTTAGAACATTATTAGCTCTTAAGTGCAGAAGAAGAAAGGAAATCAAAGTTTGCATATATAAATCAAAGAAAGGAGGTGTTGTGGTGTGTACCCTTTTAAATCCTTCATGCATGAACGTGTCTCCTCCAGGCACTTCATACTGAAGAATTTCAAGACCTCGTCTTATGGCTTCCCTTTGGATTAAAAAAAATAATTTTATTAAGAGGTGGTTTTCCCCTCCCCCCATGAGATATTCCTGTAACCCAGATAGATCACACATCCTGTCAATACATGGCACAAAGTACATACACACCAGCTAAAGCACTTGTAAAACTATGATTAAAAAACAGTTGTGACATGAACTGAGCACCCACAGAAGCACAAAACCAGGCATATGATACAATACTGGGGTTAATACATTTTTAAGGGTGAAATGCTGACACTGCTCCCTCATTCTACTATATTGTCAGCCAGGAAAATACTGAATTAGAGCAAATGCCAGATATTGAACACTGACAAACTGCAGATGGAATGAGAATTTAAAAGCTTATGGCCCTGTCATGAAAATGGGATGACTAAAAGCTCATTATTCAATCAATCATCAGGACAGTTGGGATTAAGACTTTTCCATTATAAAGACAGAGGCCAGAAAACATGAAAATAGGATGGGAATGAGAATTTCCTGTCCCAGACGAGATGCTCAAACTTCTTCAGACAGTTTCCTGGTACAAGAGTGACTTGGAAACCATCACTCCTGTTGCATAGCTTCCTACTCCGCAAACAAACACCTGGAAACCAAGAGGATCACTCAGGGAAATTAATACTAGTTTTCCTGATTACTTAGAGATTCACAGCCACAAATACAGGGGAAACAGGAGTATGTGGGATTAAGGTAAAAATCAGGGGCTGGGATTAGGGATGTCCTTAATACCACATTCAACACTATTTTCCTATTTGAAAATAGAAAATTCCCCCTGGGAAAAGTAAAGAAGTTTGACCTCTGTCTAGACAACAGAGGCCTGAGGACTTGATTGTGAAGGTGGCAACAAGAATTTTGCTCTCGCCTAAGACTCTCCTAAAAAGGCTGTGGCCTGGCTGCACAGTGGCAAAGCACCTCTTGCACAGGTGTTGTCCAAAGGCAGGGATGCAACAGCCTGGCAGATAACACTCCAGCACCATTGGTACAATCAGTGCTGGCATCAAGCAGGTACCTGAGCTGATGCCACACTGAAGACTGACACAGAGCTCCGCGTCCTGGTTTTGGGGCCACTCATTGAGAGTGACTTCAGAGGAGGGGTAGAGGGATGAAAGCTAGGAAGTACTTGCCTGTTTTCTGTTAATTTCATGATTGTAGTGCCTCGTGAAGAAAAAACGATGAAAGACATGCGCAGCATTGGACTGAAACAGAAGAACAAGCCAGATCCACGTCTCATACACATTACTTCAGCAGATTTTCATTTCATAAGGAGTGAATGAGAGATAATGCATGAACATGTGTATGTATACATATACGTAATCAATTTTAAAATACCATCTAAGAAAGCTTTACCTTATGAACTTCTCAGCCAGGCTTTCCACAAAAGAGTAAATCTCTGTCCAATGATTTCTGACACTTCCAGATCTGTATACAAAACATAATGGATTACCTTCATCGTATTTCACAGTGAAATTCCTTGTAGCACTCTGAATTTTAAGACTGTGATAGTCTGGAGGTGGCTAGAGACACAACCTGGACAGAGGTCCACAGAGATAGGGCAGCTAGCTCTGGTGAGGCTTCTACAGCAGTTGTGCTGGAAGTGGTAAAAGAACAATTATTACAAAACCCACTGACCTAAACACAGCAGAAATATTTTTTTTTAAATATTTGTTACATAAAATATTTATAAAATGAATTGAACTAGAAGAAAATATTTGACATTGCTAAATTATCTGGTAACAGACTATTTACTTTCCTAGAGCACAGCTCTGCTCTTGCAGCCACACAGAAAGTCCGGACTGGTCTTTGACCCTCCCAGAACGCGTGGGAGAATGTTTCCATGAATTACTGTTTGTTTCAAAAGAAAAAGCTTTTGAAGTAATTCAGAGGGGGAAAGGCAGTACTAATAGCTAACACACAGCACTAACGTTCTGCAGAGTCGATCCCTGCTTGTTACAGACTTCCCGTGAAAACTTGGGCAATAAGTTATATGCACAAACTTAGGGGTTTTTGCTCCCATTCCTGATCCATAAACTGCATTACTCACACTCCATTGCTTTTCTCAGTTCGGTCTTACATTCTCAGCAACCCTAGCAGTCTTGTGGGACTCAGACCTCAGAGCCCTGCGTGCAGCATATCTACAGTGCAGTTGATTTGCACTGTATGGATCTACGGCGGCATACACTTCCAAGCCACTTGAAAGGCTACAAAACATGAGAAGTCAATGGTGTGAAAAGCCCTCCCCAGGACTGTGGTGTTAATGAATGAATGGCTCATTCACTTGGCTTGCAAGGTGAACGCCTGCATCAAGTGTCTTGGGCACAAGTAGAGAGATGAATAGTGCAGCAGCATGTCTGAAGGATCACAGAGGTTTAGACACAAGAACTAAAATACTTATGAAACATAACTACTGAAGTAAGAAACAAATTTTTGCCTTAGGTTTCCTTTTACACAGCAAATGTCTAATGACAGTGTGTTAGAAAAGGGAAATAAAATTGCAGTTCTGCTATGGGTTTTCAAAGCAATCCTATATCCACCCCTATACACCAGGTACGGATCAGCAAAGAGAAGTCCATACGTGTGGTGCAATATGGCACTGCGTGCCTTGCAGCAGTGCTAGTGGGATGAAGGAGAGCAAAGAAAGCGACAAAAACCATCAAGGGACCACTGAAGTATTTAAACTTGAATGAGCCTGCCTGTGTGCTTTGATGCTACTTTTCTGGAGAACTGGTGACTCATTCACAGAATAAACTGGTTATCAAAGAATGAAGAAATTAATTTGCCAGACAGCAAGGGAGGGCAACAAAGCACCAGAAACTGATCAAACTAAGGACTGCTCAGTCTCCAATTTGTGTGTCAGTCAATGGATGCGCCAAATTCACACATTTGTGAACAGTGCCAAGGAAAGGTGATGGCATTACTAGAAAACAAGCCATTTTCTTATCATAAAAAAAAGTACATACTTCACATAGTCATGGATTAAGGAGTATTTTTTCAAAAGGGATCTGAGGCAGTCCAACACCTACATGTATATTTCTCTAGGATTCTTCTGAAAGTCTCAGACTAAGCCTCTAAGTTAGCTGAACTCAGATTTGCCTTGAACCTAAGCAAGGTTCAGGATATCAAGATCTATGCATTTAGAGCTCCCAACTTTTATTTTTAAGTTACCCCCTTACTCCACCCAGAAATGACACTTCATTTTCTCTCTGAGCTTGCTATCCCATTTCAGTTCCATTCTTGCAGTTTCCAGCAGGGTTACTTCTTTATACAGAATACCATTTCCTACTCAGAAAACAGGGACCTATTTTGGATGAGGTATCAAATTTCTACTGCCAGCTGCAGAGGTAATGATGCAATCCAAAAAAGAAAGTAGCAACTAATTCTCTTCGTAATGACAACAAATCATCACCATTTCCAGTACCTTTTTAGAACTCTGAATTGCTTTTTCTTTTTTTCTTTCTTTCTCCTCTTACATACCTAATTTTTAGGCAAAGAACAGCTTGACAAAAAAAAAAAAAAAAAAACAGACACTGAAAATTTAAGAAAGTTGTAAATCATTAATAGTGGAAAAACACAAACACGGTACAAAAGCACAGATAGCCTTAATACCATGCACTTCCTATGCACTCAGATAACCTTAAATATAACAAAACATCCCATCTTCAAAAGCACAAGTGGTGTTAAGAGTAACAAGAAGTGGCTGTAATAAATCTATAGGTACCTACCCCTGAAAAGCTAAGGATGCCTCTGTCACGCACTAGTCCTCGCAGGAAGCATACTGTCACAGAGCTACAACCCTGCGGAGCAGAGGCACTGCAGGGCAGCAGGGGGTTTCCTGCTCCACTGGGAGGAATTCTGCACCCACACATGGCTTATTTCTTGCGTGTCAGCTGGGAAATGTCAAAGCCAGACAGAAGCTCTAGCAAGAAAAGTTTTACTGTTTCCAAATCTTATATGAAGAGGGCCAGGGAAGTGGTCAGCACTTAACTACTTCCTCCATCACACTCCTTCAAGCTCAGGTGTTGTTCTGTTGACACCAATGCTCAAACACAACCAGTGCTGGTAATGTCAAAGCCCTCAAGAACCAGAGGTGGCCTGGCTTACAAAACGACATGATTTCCCCTCCCTGCCCCTCCAATTCCTCTCTAAATTGGCCACTTTAGTAATAGAATAATGAAAATTTCCAACAACAAAATGCAATTTTACTGTATATAGCTTTGCTGAGCTATATACTAAGCTGCCCGCTACTGTCATAGTACTCCTAACACTGACAGAAACAGAAGAAGCCCAGCATTAGGGAAAATACCGAGACATTTCACTGCTTTCTGCATCTTAGCTTTAATACCACAAAAACCTTTTTGCTGGCAGCACAAACTAACATGCTGTGCTGTGTGGCTGGATGGAACTAGGAAGTTTCTGCCTTGCTTCTCCATGGCAAGTGGGAGGCTGTGACTTAAACCCCTCCAAGCATACTCTTAGCTCATTTCTGACAAAGGTCAATGCTTGAAAGACACCCATTTTCAACTCCACTATTCCTGATCCTAGATTAAGAATGAGGTCTTTCATACTCTCTGCACCACAGATTATTCCTGGACATCTTCACAGCCTGACTTTTACAGCAGTTTTTGTGCCTTTATCATTTTAGTCCTATGATAACTGAGAAAAAAAAAAAAAAAAAAAAAGTAATTCCTGTTAACCAGCCTACTGTTGCTAATAGGAGCCTCAGACAAAGCTGGCATGTTGTCCCAAACTGCCATCATCAGTAACCAACCACAAACAGATTCATTGCCTGGCCTGTTTGGCCACTCCCATAAGATTTCAGGGGAGCAGTGAAGACTTCTGAGTAATAAGGAAAGCATCAGCCAAACACAGATCAGCACAGTGTAGAAAGCACACCGGGTAGAAGACCCATGCTTGGCCACCCTCACCAGCAGGTTGGGGAAGCCATGTGGCAGCAATGCAGCCAGGTAACCCTACACACCCTGCAGAGCATTCAGTCAGAGACCCCTGTGGGTAATGACCCACCGCTTACTGGTGGCTCACGCACCCTCCAGAGCCAGGCAGGAAGACAAGGCCTCAGTCCTCAGAAGTTACACGATTCTCATGGTGAAGGCAAACACAGAGCAACAGACAGCTGCTGCAGAGAGCCAGAGTGCTGCAGAGAACATATCAGGGGCTGCTGCTGCTGGCTCACCGGGCTGAGACTGGAGCAAATCCAGCAGAATTCCCCCGGTCCATACCTAAGGAACTGGCATCAGAATTGGGCCCAACCAGAGCACAAAACCCACAGGAGCTTCTGAGAACTTGCTCCCCAGTGCCCAAGCTCAGTTCCCATTACACACGAGACAAAGAGAGGAGTCAGCAAACCACAACATAGGAAAGAATGCACTCCCTGCCTCATGGCCCGCGCTGAGGAGCAGCTGCTGCTCCTGCTGCCGTTTTCCTGAATTTCACATTGCTACTGCTGGATGGGAGGGGAAAAAAAGAGGAGGCCGGTAAGTATTTCTGGGGGCGGAAGGAAGTGATGTGATCGCAGGCCTCGATTCTGCTCCTGCTTACTTTGGAGTGACTCCGTGCAACTTAGCGGAGCTCTGCATCAGTGTAAAAAAACACAGTGAGCGGTGTCAGTCATGCCTGACCCTTGCTGATGGCAGAGCACAACCTGGGCTGGAGTCAGCCCTTCCTGTCCTAGCAGCCCCCAGAGGCAGTGGAAACTGGAGGCAGAGAAGCCAAGCAGGACGACTTGGCACCCAGGCCATCACACTCCGCCCTACTACTTTGGGGTCATGTCTGAGGTGCCTGCCCCAGGACATAAGTGATCCACAGTTATAGCTGAACTCACTGCCAGGAGCCCACAGTGGTGCAATACACCTCAGACCTGCAGCTCTGTAGTGAGAATTAATACCCAGGCATTGTCCAAACAGCCCGCGTTTATACTACCACACACACAGAGCAGGCAGCAGGACTCAGAGCCTCAAGCAGGAGAGGGAAACCCCTTGAAAATGAGGAGCTGCCCCTTGTCCTACATTTCACACACCCCCAACGTTTGCCTGTCTCTTACTAATTATCTGATAGCAGCTATTTCAGAGATCCCAGAGGAAAAAGAAAAAAAAAAACACAAACCACAAACCTGTTATTACTGATTCTGGGTTCAGTTTGAGTGTGGTGTCAGGGGAGTAAAACAGCTATCAAGTTTGCTGGTCCCTATAAGTATCCCCTTGAGCTAATGGTGGCCTTGCATACAGCCCTTTGCTCAGAAATAAGGCAGTTTGTTGTTATTTGGAGAGAGCTCTTTGTGGCCACAACCACATTGCAGACAGCAGGAGAATTCTTGCACATGGCTAATAATGGCTCTGCAATAAAAGCAAACCCTGGGGCATCTAGTTTGTTGTGGCTTCAGACATGCACGCGCATGTTCATCCATC